TTGATTCTCTCTTTAAAGAAATTATGTTCTCTATCCTTGTCACATCAACTATTCTTGAAAGGAATATTACAGAAACCCGTAAGGGAACACGAGAAGCATTTCGTGTTAAAAAGAAAGGATAAAAACCTGATGCATCAAAATGGTTCACTAGAGAAATGGGAGAATCAATGTTTCCCAATATCAAATTTTAAGATCCAACAGGAGTTGGAGTCCTCTAAAGGAAAGGGGAGTAATGATCAAGGGTGATCTTATAATAATAATAATATTATTATTTTAATTATTTTTATTTTTATCCATTTCTATTTTTATCTAATTAAAAATAAATTAATAGTTTTAGTTTATTTACTAATCACCATCAATAAAAACATGTGTCCCCCGTGAAAGGATCATCAAACTCACCTTGACCGAAAATTTAGTCACCCACGTGCCGCTCCCTCTATGATAATTGATTTAACAGTATACTAAATCAAACACATCATATAGCAATTATTCTATACTTCTCATCTATGTCTTTTTATTCAAGTTAATTTTCACAGCTTATCTAACTTTTCTTTTGATATTATTTCGATCTATTATTTCTTACTTTCTCCCTTTTTCTTTATTCTCTTCATTAATTCACAATATTATAGTTTTCTTTACAATTTTATTTTCCTTTTTCAAATTAGCTGTCATTTCTTGATAACTTTATTTTAATTTTATTCGTGTATGTTTCCTTATTTTTCCTTAAACTTACTCATTCCTTACTCACTTTGGGTTCCCTACTCCATCTGTAAGGTTTATTGAATTGTATATAAATTCTTATGGTATTTGGTGCTTTTTTTTTCATTTTTCCTTCACTTTAACTCATCCATTAGGTTGATTAGTAGTTCAGGAAGTTTAATATATTCTAAGTGTACTTGGTTTATTATTAAGGTTAGATCTCTTGGCCCTTGGATCATGCCTGTCTAATTTTAAGATTTTGCTTATTGGGTCATCTCTCTGTTTAATGGGTTATGACCTGTTTACGCCATGGATAAGGCCCATTGCCATGTCTAGTTTTTGGCCCACTAGATCTACATCTTCTTCTCCATTATCAACTCCTAAACCCTAGATTATCTATTGTCATCATGACTACCTTATAGATCTCAGGTTATTTGCATTCACAGTGTGTATTTCATTTTTAATGTAATGAACTTTAAATCATTTTGTACTTATCTTTCGAGATTAATCATTCAACAAATCATTTTACATGATTAGTTTGAGCTAAATCACAATTAGATTAAACGGTTAGATGAATTTTACCCTTCTCGGATTATATTGATGGAAATTGATTTGCAACGCTGATATTTGTCTTCTTGAGCCGCACAAGCACACACACAACAACATTGTATTGTTGCAAAACCAAATCTAAAAGGGATATACATGTTTTCGATTTCGATATGGGAATGAGAAAATAAATAATCACCTTTCATCACACTGATGGTCACGAGATTTAGAAGGGCTCTTTAGCTCCGTCGTTTCCTTTCGCCATTGCTCTTTCTCTCTCTCTCTCTTCACTTCTCTAGTCAAGTGAAGGCTAGGTTTTTTTTATGGGGTTCTAGGTAACTTTGAGCCATTAGATCCCAAAATTAATTTTTAACCGTTCGATTTTTCAGGGTGTTACAACAATAGCCTAAAGTTATTGATGTTTCAAATTCTTTGTTGTAGCTTTGGATAAGGTAAAGTTATTTAATTCTTACAGCTTTGTGTCCTACCATACCTGCATTATCTCACACATTAGTGATCAATCTATCACCTAGGATATAAAACAGAACACCATGAGGTTGGTTAAGTTTCATTCATATAGTTGATACAATTACATGTGTTAAAATTCTTTATACGAAGAACAAATGTGATATCTTTACAGCCTACTTTGGAACTGTCATCAGAACTTACAGATGAAAGACAAGTGAAAGTTGACATCCTCCATAGGCACATCCAATCAAGCTAGCTGATGAGGGATTTTGATGGTCTAGCAACAGTTTCTTCCAGCAACGGATGGCTATTCCTAGAATCCGATCTATGACTCTGCCTGACAAGCCTTTGCTTTCTTCTCAGACTCTCACGCAATGGAGTAAAGAAATCATGCTTCAGGGCATCCTCTGCACTGATCCTCAATCTTGGGTTCACAGTTAGGCACTTGTCCAGAAGATCAAAGAATGATCTTGGTATTGTCTCAAGGATATCTCGTCTCTTTGTGTTGATTTGGCACCACTGTTTTAGGTCCATTGATGGTAGAAATTGTGTGTCATAAAGTTCCTGCAAGAGAATGGTAGTTTCTCTAGTTTAGGACATGTTCAACAAATTCTTGTTTTCACTAAATCACAGGTAATGAATGCAAATACCACGGGAAACAAGGATTCACGGTTATGCAATTTAGCTACTTCCCATAGATCTTCACTGCCTCTTAACTTTGCAATATCTTTCAGATTCCTGCTAGAAATAGTGACATTATTGCAACTTTTGAAGTACAAGGATAAAAGTAATAGAAAAGTTAAAAGGTTGTTACTGTTCTGGATCGCCAACGAAAGGTGTTCTCCCAATTATCAAATAGAGTAAGGTAACCCCAGCAGACCATATATCAATCTTGGGGCCTTGATAGGAAGATCTTAAGCAAACCTACACAACAAACTCAACATCAGGCTCTAGTACTTTTGCTGAAAAGTGAAATCTCCAAAGAAGATTCAAGTATGATAGGAGCGAGTGGCAAAGTTGGAATTTCATACATAAAATTTCCCCTGTTTTTGAACATTTTTTGTACAGCCTTTTTCCTTACAACCACAGATCCTCCAAGGACTAATAAAAGCAATACTTAATGCATTATCATATATAAAAAATCCTTTATTTTTAAATTAATAATATTTGTTCCTTTTACCATAATATCCATAGCTTAAACCAATTGATGCATCAGTGTGCTAGATGCAACCCAATGCCTCTTTAAGATTGTCACAGATCATACTCAAATCTAACTGCTATATGATAAAATTACTCAAAAAGATAAAACATAACCCTTGTTATAATCATGTAATAGTTTCTCCAAAAATTTCAGGTCTACGCTCTGCAATTTTTATGCTCCTCAAAGTCAGGGCAGTATTAGGGAAAGATAAGAAGGGGGATAGGAATGCATCTGTTTAAAAGCTTGAATAGAACTAATTACAAACCATTACCTCTGGTGCCCGGAATCCTTTGGTTCCAGCACAAGGGCCCTCTTTCTTTGACTTTCCATCCCCTAGGAAAGACAAAAGGGGTTAATCTTTGAAAGTGTAGTTATGAAATACTAGTCTTGGTTCTTGAAAACAATTACTTATTCTATTTCCTTTAAAAAGTAAAAATGGAACAGAAACTGTTTGGTTGGTAGAACAGAAAAATATTTCCTAAAAATGAAACAGAAAACATTAGAAAACTAAAAAAAATATTTAAATTATTGTCATGATTTTTATTACAGAAACAGTTTTCTTTAACTAGCAAACATGTTTTCTGTTATTGTTTTTATTTTTATTTTTTTATAAATTCAAAACTAGAAAATGTTTTAAGAAACAAATGCAACCTAAGTTTCCTAACTCACTACACAAAAGCATACCTTTACCCTTTATAAAACCAGCTCCAGCTACAGCCAGACTGCTTGAATGCAGAGGCATGGGAGTAATATAGAGAAAATCTTTATCCATTTTCTCACAAGATGCAGCAATCCGCTTTCTCATGGGAGCTGAAACATGAAATACTTCACGATCTTGAGTAGTCATCACTTCTTGCAAAAGATTTATCAGCTCCTTTCTTCCTTGGCATGGAAAAGGTTCTCTAAGCCTTTCTGCAGAAGGAGTCTTTGTGCTTGTCACATCCTTTGCTGAGGTTACACCTGAGCCGTCTGCCCCTTGGCTATTGAATTTATTCCATCTGCTCAAGTCGGTATGTACCCTTGTTTCCCCTGTAGCCCTTTTCTTCAAGTTCTTCAATGTCAAATTTGATGCAGAACCTTTGTTTCCATCATGATTGACATTTATTGATTTAGAAGTTGTGAACTTCTTGCTACTAGTAGGAACCATGGATTTGGCATTGTTATGAGTATGATCAGAGCCTAAACCAAATCCTAGCTTTGATTTGTCTGCAACAAGGGAAAAAAAAAGCTCTATCAATTATTGTTTTCCAACAGTTTCTCAAAAAGAAATATTGTTTTCCACATTGAGCGGCCGAGCAGAGAGCGCAGACATGGAAGTATTATGGTATGTAAAAACTGGAGGAAAAGAAACTTACAAGTAATCCTATACTTCTGATGCAGATCCTGTTAAGAGAACAACAGAATACTAACCATATGAGTCTAGTGAAAACAGAATGAAAGGAGGGAAAACAGAACTAGAACCAAATAAGAAGCATAAAATTCCAAGGAGTGGCCATCATAAGGTGATACTCGACATAGTAAATCTCCAGATTTAGGCTTTCCCTTAGCAAGTTCCAGTTGCACTCGTAGGAATTATCCTAGTCTACACATGCTCATTTCTTAAGGACCACTCTGAACTAGCTCAAATGAGCCCCAAACATCTTGCCACTTGCTTCTTTCCCCTACATCTCCAAGGGAAAAAGTGAAAGAAAAAATTATGACTAGGAAGGTATGACTAACCACCGCAAGATTGAAGTCTATAAGATAGCCTTTGCCAGTCTTCCGAGAGAATAGGAAGTTGCCAGGCTTGACATCTCTATGGACAGTACCCTGCAGGTTTACAAATAATTGGCTGGATCATTTATTCCCATCAAAGGAAAAATTGCAGATCTGCATGGTACATAATACCAAAAGTACGAACCTGTTTATGAAGACTTGCTAGAGCTCTGAACATGCAATAACCATACCACTGTAACTGAAAAACATCTATTTCTTTCTTCAGTACCTGAAAGTTCAAGTGAAGGTAACATTAAACAGACGAAACCAAAAGCATGCCCATTGAATAATATAATAATTACCTCAGGTCTATCATGCTCTACATGCTCTAGGACAAAGCAATCAGAATTTCCACTCTTAAAACACCCTTCGTACTTTATTACAAAGCTTTTGCCCCTGGATTGAAAGAAAATGGCTTGTAATTCATACTAAAGTTTCTTTCCTTCAAACATAAAATTGAAGTCTTAAAATCCCCTTACCCAAAACGCTCGAGCATCCTTAGCTCATTAGTAACATGATGCTTATGTGCATTTGCATGAGGGCCTGCAGAGACATAAACAGGGATCATAAAACATAAGAGTTCAACTGAGCCCACTCTCTTCAGAAATAAATTTTGAAACAGGAAAGAACCCAATTCCAGATTCTCATCTAGCACACTGACATCCTATGAAGTCTAAAATGTCTAATGCATTGAAAATTGATGAAGTTATCTATATACCAAGAAAATCAAATAAAGTAGCTCACACCCTCTTTCACATAAATCAGTGATTCTTCTTCAGTCTTTGATCTTGCATGCTCTGACAAAGATGGCAGACAGACTACTGTTTCTCATAAAAATAAAATGTTCAGGTTTCTGCTCCAACAAAATCTTGGCAACTCACATGATTCTGGTAAGATATTTATCCCTAAGCATCATCTTAACAGCCTCCAAGAGTTCTTGGAGTCATAGAGTTGCAGATTCACACATCAGCTAGTATAGTCATGGATTCTGATACGTATTAAACAGTTATTGATGCCATACAGCTAATTAGGATATAGCTATTGTGAGAAGTAAAATAAATAATTCTTAGATTTATACTCTGTATATATACTAAATTCGAAACATATAGTATATATGATATCAACAACTCCTTAGTACAGAGATGCCCAAGAAAAGCAATATTAATCACGTAAGATCATGTCTTCCTTACATTTAATGGCAACTGTATTTCCATCACTTTTCCTCCTTGCTCTATAGACAGTGCCATAACCACCTGCCAATTGAAATTTATAAGGCCATAAATGAACCCATAATAAATTACAAGGCAAGAACAAATATCGAAGTTTTATTACCTGAACCTTCTTCTTCTTCTACAGTATAAGCTTCAAAATTTGGGAATACACTTTGCCTTGCAGAATCCTGTAAAGCAACCATCATTGACATAGGCAATAATTAAAAGAGAGTTAAATGCTTACGCCTACTGAATCAGCTAAGTTTTAAGACAACACAATAACAAAATACTAAGGAATTTACATCCCACATTATTATAAGCAACAAAGTTGCAAGATAGATCTCACCTTGGATGAAATAGAATTAAGGACTCTCTTTGTTTCTTTACTCTGTATGTTCTTAGGATTTTGTCTTGATTTTTGAGTTATTTTGGTTGACATTTTATCTATTTTGCTTAGCTGCTTTTGTTGGGGTTTATTAACAACTTCCTTATTCCCTGGAGACTTGCAGGTATCTTGCACTAAGGAAAACTTGCATGTATCTTGCACTTGTGAAGCCACCACATCCTGATCCGTTGCATTTGTTTCAACTGAGGGCTGGGGCAACTGTCTAGTAATTGATCCAACATACAAGGAGTCATTCAGCATCAATGGACTTAACAAGTTACTGGGCTGTGCATTCATGCCCTTGATGATGTTACCAGTTAAATGATGGGCCATCTGCATAGTATTAAATTTATCAAAAATAAAATAGTATTAACAGAGAGAACGAACAGGGAGGATAACACATCCCTCCAAATAGAGAAAAAATATAAAATTTGATTAAGCAGCATAATATAACTCTTAGTGTGAAGCAGCAATCTCAAAAATTGATAACCTTGTGCTTTGTGAATATGTGCCCCAAAGAAAATCCTTGACAAAGGGAATTTGACACCAGAATTCTTTTGCTTAGAAAATTTTGAGAGAGAGAGATCATTAAAGCAAGACCAAAGAGATCTTTAATCTTCTGAGAAAAACAAGAACATTTAAACAAGGTACCAAGTGATGCCCTCGATTACACATTAAGAAAAAAGTCAAGATACCAATGAGCTTCCTTAGATCTTATTCACCAAGGAGAGAACAACCATAGAGAAAATATGTCCTAAACCAATAATCTTCAGTTCCATCATCAAGAGAGCATGTGCCCTGAAAATTATTCTATTCCATTCCTTCCCAACAACAAAATAATGTCCAAAGGAACAAGGGAGAAAACCTTCTTCCTAGACTTCTCAGCTCATAAACCATCCTTATGTCATCTACCACTGTGCCTCTAACAACTAAAGCCAAGTTAATGAAATTAAGGGCAATCACACAATATTCTAGCCTATGAATAAGAAAGATAGAGATGGACGAGAAATTGCTTCTCATGAAGACAGATAGAGCAACCATAAAGAAAATACTTAAAGACTAAGCAATAAGAACCATAAAAAAATGGATAAAAATATAACAATAAATAGTAATAAATGCATAAAGGCATGTCCAAGTATTTTTAGAATGAGAATTATTTACAAATAATTTCCGAAGTTCAGAGATTTCAGTTGAAACCAAATTTTTTACATTAACTTTCTGTAACTAAGACAAATGTTTTGCCACCTTTTGCTGAATTAAAAACAAGATGTTGGCATTTTATACCGGGAAATACAGTGTGACTTCTTTCAAGCAAAAATAAAAAACAAGAACAAGATGCATCCATCTGCTTCTAAAGTTGACCAATGCCTCATGTGAATTCAAAAACCAAGCATTTCAAAGTCCAGGCGGACAACTACTTTAATGATCCTTCACTGTATTATTCTGGGAAATACAGTTCATTTTCTTTCAAGTTAAAATAAAAGTCAAGAACTGATGCATCCATCTTCTACAAAAATTTACCACTGCCTCCAGTGAATTTAAAATCCAAGCATTTTAAACTTCAGGCAGACAACTACTCTCACAATCTTGGGATAAGTTTGAGTTTCTTTAAAAAAATAAATCCACAAGGATACTGTACAGTAACATAAACCATTTTTAACGTCAGCATCGTTCATAACCAAAAATCAAATAAGAATCTAACAAGATTCCCAGAAGAATAAAAACTAGTTTCTTTTTTACTTCCCACATCATACAATTAACTTTTGTTGGTCAATTACATACCAATTTCCAATATTAAACATGAAAAGAAAATCTCTTGCTGTATCGTATTTGCAACTAATAACTATAACTGCACTAAACTATTCCAACAAAAACTCTAGAATCAGACTGAAAAGAGTACCTTTGTCCAATCAATTCGAATCCTTTTTGATAATGGCATTTTCGGTTGCCCACGCTCCTCATTTTCTGGAATAAAAACCACGATTAAATGGATAGAATAAAATTAATATTTAGAAGTAAACGGACTAAAGCAATTATTCGTAGTACCATTTATCAAACTAAAAGGAACTCGTTTGCGCTTCCTGGCACTCCAATTTATGAAATCCTTAACCTGCCTTGCACATGCAAGAGAACCCCAAGAAAGTGTAGCTGATAGGTTATCGCTTGTGAGAGAAATTGGCGAGTTAGGAATTGAGCAGAGAAACCCAACAACCGAGGGAGAAGCTTGGAAGAGAGTGCATCGAGATGCAAGCTCGGAAAGTGACATCGGACCGCCCTTGGAGAGGAGGAGAAAGGCAATATACCAAGCATGTTGTTGCCACTCAGCGGTTGTACATGGGGAGATGGAATGTACCACAGAGAGGGCAGATGAGATTTCCATGGAAGAGAGTAAGAAAAATCAGAAATTTGAGATACTTGTATTCAGGAAAAAGGAGGCAGAATCTGTAGAGGAAGTAGCAACCTCAGTGAACTTCCATGTCGTCAAAAAATAAAAAAACAAGACAATAAGTTCCCCAAAAATCTAATTTACAGTTGGACTAGACAGCATAAAAAAAACTAACATAAATGCGACGTAAAACTTCTGGAAATTGTCTGATTAAAAAGAAAAAAACTTCTGGAAACTAAGATTGGACGGAAAAATGCAAGCATCCTCCCTGAAGTGCTTGATAATTAATCAGGCTTACTTAAACTGACCGCACCCAAATCTTAGTGGTCGCGTGAAAATGACATACATAAATTCGGCCAAAGGCTACGCCAGAAAACTAAAAAATAAAATATGCTATTCTTCAACCAATTCGTCCAATGATGTTCCTTGAAAACCTTCATATCAACTCATTGTCAAGTTTCTCAAGAGATCAAATACGAGATAATACATTTAAAATTTAGCATTTAGCAGTTAAACCTGATGCAATATCCCTTAAGAAAAAATAACAGCGAGCCCAATCACCTAATAAATCCAGGTTGCAGAAAGATGAATAATGCTAGGCCAAAATGGACGACACATGAGGGACGCTAAGAAATAAAGGATTTTGTCTACAGATTATACGAGTGAGAAATCTGCGATAAAACAAAACACGCCCCATCTCCATCAGTAAATTGTGAATTCAGATTCACAACCCGCAGATTCCATGGATTACCTTATTCACAGCAAGGCCTTTGGTACCTCTGTGTCGTTATAAGCACGAATGACAAAAATGATGATCTCCACGGACTTGCTGAACAGAACTTGTACTAGTCAAGTCCTTGTACACCTAAGTAGCAGCATGTGAAGCGCTTGTTTAGCGACGGATCTGCAAACCAGTGAGCGGAAACAGGTGGAAAGAGAAGGAATCGGAAATAGCTACAGCCGACAGCGGCTGAGGCGGGTGAAGCAGTAGATGTCGCTTGAGATGTGATTTCGTTTTCTTTTGGTTTTTCCCCTGGTTGAAATTGGAGGGAAATTGGCAAAGGGCGGAATTTTTTAAAGCTAAGATTTGGATTTTGCCGCCTACGGATGGACGGAGATGAAGATCATCGATGGTTTTACACGTGATTGAAAAAGCGTCTGACGAGGGCCCACAAAACATACATATTATGGGCTCAGTGTAGTTTGTTGAAAGTTTATTTGGTTAAAAAAATTATATATTTGTAAGAAAAATTTGTGGTATTTGAAAAAAAAAAGTATTATATAAATAATAATAAAATTTTGATAATGACAGTAAATAATTCAAAATTTAGCTTTGTTAATGATTAGTTATCTACTATTATATTTTATTTAAATATTATAAATTTAATTTTTATTAATAATGTAAAATTTATTATTTTATAAATATATAATATATAATATTTGATTCGATAAAATTAATAATTTATTTTATTAATATATTTATATCATACGTTAAATTAAATTCAGTAGTCTATTGAAATCATCGAAAATTAATATTATTTAGCTGATAATTTTTTTAATTAAAATAATTATAATTGATTAAAAATTAAATATATTATTTTAATCAAAAATCCCAATTTCATTTTGCAATGTTCAAACAGGGTAGGAAAAAAGATGATTGATTGTCATCTTAAAACATTTAAATTATTTTAAATATTTTACATGCAATGGAAAATAGAAAATGTTTATAATTAGAAAAATTATGAAATAGCAAGGGTGGCACCAAATGAAGGAGCTACATGGCCGGCCGCCAATGGCTCAAAATTTAATTATAATGTACAGTATAAATATAATTCAAGTAAAATGAGTATGCGAATAAGAAAAATTTTAACTTTATGATTTGCCTAATTTAAGTTATATGATTTTATAAATATTTTATGTAAATTAATTACAATAACACTTAAAATATGGGTAAATTTTATTTAATTATGCAGTTTAATGAAAATATGAAAAATTTTATAAATTTATAATTATTGATTAATTTAAATAATTGTTAGATTATATAAATTGATTATTTTAAAATATATAATTTTATTTGAAAAAGGAGTTAAACGTGAGAAGGTTGACAGGAGAGAGGTAAATAGAAGAAAATGAACAGAGGGAAAATGAGTAATTCAATTTAAATATTAATTACTAGCGGCGAGCACGTGCTGCACCAGTCAGATAACTTCCACATGCTTCGTCTTCATTCTTTTGCAATTAGATCCTCTGGAAATAGATAGAGATATAGATTGCAGAAGTGCTGAATTTTGTATGCAGGAAATTAGCTTCTTGAATCCATTGTCTTATTCATCTTCAATGGAGTCCTCGTTTTCCGCATTAACGGCAACAACAACAATAACAATACCAGCAACAGGGAGAGCGCTGAGACTTTTCACCATATCTAAAGCCTTAAACCGCCATTTATCCGCCAAATTCCCTCCTCTTCTGGTTCGTTCAGACCTTCCGAGCCAACTCGTCGCTCGCCAGGTTAGGTACTTGTACACGAACTGCCTTAGCAGACCGAATTCATCGGTCAATCCATTTCTTCCTTCACCGTCACTCAGGGGATTATTTGCGGCGGTTCCCGAAACGCGTCGTTGTTTGGAGCGCATATCGAACTCCACGAAGTTGTTCGGAACAGCAACAGGTGGAGGCGGTGGGGGGTTTGATGGAAAAAGCGGAGGAGGAGGCGGAGGCGACGGATGTGACGGTGGAGATTCTAATTCGGGATTGAGCACTGCGGCGGGTCAAGGGGCCTCTACATTGCCGCCGGATGTCATTATCCTTGATGTTGGTGTATGTTATTCTCTCGCTCTTTGTATACCATGTATGTTAATTTGAAATTTGTTCATACTGTATCTCTGATTGTCTATGCTTGCACATGTAATTTTAACCAAAATGAGGAATACTTAAACCGCTCAATATCTTTCCTTCTATAAGTTTGTTTGCCATTGGCTATTAGTTATTGAGTTTAGTTTCTGCATATGTTTTATGTTTTTTCCTAACCCTTTTTTTCAAAAATAATTTTCTGTGCTGAACTTAATTTCTTTTATCCATCTCTGCGAGAATGTTTTATTCAGCTGCTACTTTAGTACGTTTATTGGAAAGAGGGAAGTGGAGGAAAAAGGAAATCTAGACATGGTTGCGTTCATTCAATTATTTATATAGAAATAGTAATTAATGGTAATTTATTTGAAAAAAAAGTAATTAATAAAAAAAATGGAAGAATGATGGACATTCTTCCTTCTAAAAATTTTGAATGGAGAAAAATGAGGAGAAAGGAGACTACTTTAAAATTTTAAAAGAAAATTTTCTATTTTATCCTTGATTATTTATTTCAGAGTCTATCTTATCTCTCTATTATGATGGAATATTATTGGCTGCTTTCTTTTTTCCTTTTATGAAACTAAAACAAATAAAATATAATAATAATTTATTCTCTTAAGAATCTCTCATTTTCTTTCTTTCCGCATTAGTTCTTTACTGATTTTTACTTGATCATAATGTAAATGATCTAATCGTTAAAGAAATAAAGGACGTGTCAATCAATTTTATTGCTAGTGAATGTATAACTAGTTGGGTTTCCGAATTTTATGAGTTAAAACTTTCTCTTCAAGTTAAAATTCTAGCTTTGCTACTATATATTTTATGTAGCTTTCATGTTTGATTGTCATTTTTTACTTTTGTGTCTCAAGGGGAATTTACTGAAAAATGTAGGGAATGACATGTGGGGGATGCGCAGCAAGTGTGAAGAGAATTCTTGAAAGTCAAGTGAGTACCTTTCTGTTGATGCCAATTATAATTTATTTTTGGGTCATTTGTGTTGAATGAATGTATGTTATAGAACATGAAGGAAAATATAAATGCAGTGAAATTTTTTGAATTTTTAGATATTTTATCATCATGTAATATTGAGTCTGAAAACTCTGGAATCAATTGACAATTTCCTGACTGTACTTTGTCTTTTGAAATTTTAATTGATTGTGGAACTGTATATTTGATACTCTGGTGAAAAGTATGATAGCCTGTTTATCTTATCATTCATTGGAATCAATTACCAAACGCCTCAGTCCTTCATCATGTATACCAAAAAAGCTTGAAAAGGGGTAGATATCCATCCATCACCCGAACTATGATTATTTGTTTGGTCTTTTCTAATCTTTGTTAAAATTTTTGGTGCTTCATCAGTCACTACATGCAATGTTTTGTAAAGTTCAATTCCCACTCTTGCCATAATGAAAAAAAAGAAGATAAAAACGTAACAAAACTGCAAAGTTTTGAGCAGAATGTTGCGGTGAATATAACTTTATCTTCATTTTTTATTGCAACTTGTTGCATCAATGATAGGACACTGGCGTTTTTCATTTATGGAATTTCAACCACATGCAGCACAACCCAAAGAAAAGCCATTCTTTTCAAAATTGTCAATGCATTATTTGTTCTGTGTGAACTGTTTCTTTTTCTAGTATAGAACTATACTCCTGATTGTATTATTTATATGGCAGCCGCAAGTTTCATCTGCTAGCGTCAATCTCACAACAGAAACAGCAATAGTGTGGCCTGTATCTGAAGCTAAAGTTGTACCAAACTGGCAACAGCAATTAGGAGAGGCACTTGCAAAGCATTTGACGACTTGTGGTTTTAAATCTAGCCTTCGTGGTAAGCGCTCTGTGGATATTGGTACACTAATATACTTTGGTTCTTGATCCAGTTGTCTGCTTAATTGGAAATTTCATCAGGTGTATATACCGTTTGCTTAATGTAAAGGCAACACTTTTGGAATTTCACAGGCACCATCCATTTAGAAAAGAATTATTCCAAGAATTTGTTAGTCAAAATTTGTATGTGGCCTCTCGATTCCTCTTTAATGTAGAGAGGATCACTGTTTAAACAAAATAGTAAGAGTTTGGAGGCAAAGGTCTCTAATCTTAATAAAGGAGAAGATCTCCCTTTAAACACTCTGTAATACTCATGCCAAATCAGCCAAAAGAATAGGCATAGGAATCAGGGTCATGGTTCTTGTGGTTTTTTTTTCTTCGCTGTGATTCACCATTCCAAGCCTGCAATTCCTCAAGATGAACTCCATGCACTCAGCCTTATTACAAGGGAAACACTGTTTACAAAGATTCTCATTTTCTTTTTCTTCTTTTTCTCTTTTATTTTCCGAATGAAAATGTCAATAGTACTTACAGGGTTCTAAGCATCTGAACCTATGTCATATTTGCAGTGAATTTTAATACAGTTAGATTGCTGCACACTGAAATTCTACTACTTTGACATGTCATGGACAAATTGTTGATGGTTTATTGTTGTGCTGTGTGGGAATATATTTGATGAATATTAGAGAGTGAGCTCAAGGAGGGAGTTTCCTTAGGTCTCTTCCTTCCACTGCTTGACTTGGTTTTTGTTGTAAGAATCATTCTTTGGATCTTATTGCTGAATAATGAAGCACCTAGGCTTGTTATTCGGGAGTCCTTTACTTTGATCTGCTGCATTCTTTTTTGTGTTGCTCCTTGTTTGGGTACTCAATCCACTCCTTTCTGTTTTTCATTTGTAATGCATATTGCCATTGTTGCATCTACTCATATAGTTGTCTAGTAATTGGCTTCACTTTGGTGATTGAGGATCTGTAAGCATTTAGGCTGTTTTGGATTGAAATTACCACTTTGGTAGATGAAAAGAACTATCGCAGTTATTTTGTTTTCTATTAAAGCGGATGACAGTTTTGTTTTTCTTCTTCTTCAGTAAATACATAGGAGATGGATAACATTTTAAATGTTCTGAAAGATTATTATATCACAATATCCTCTGATGGTCCAATCAAATCATTTTGGAGAAAACATTAAAAGCGTTTCTGATTATCAATGGAAGTGGAGATTAGCATAAGTCGAAGATTTTTTTCTAATGGTTTCTATAAAGTTTGGTCGGTTAGTGGCAGGTGAGGGAGCTATTGAAGAAGGTGATTCACCATAGAATTGCAAACAATTTGGTTGAGGAGCAAACCATAATTCTTTATGGTATGTCCTTCATTTGTTGGGTTCATTTTGAAGTCTGGTTTGCTTGTGCAGACTTACATATTTGTTTTGTCTATGTTGGATGTAGAAGAATAGGCTTAGAGTCAATATTAATATTATAATTTCTCCCTTAATAGGTAAGTTAAAGCTGCTGCATATGGTGGATTGATCGGAAGAGGAATTTCTGATGCCAAGGCCCCAGGAGCCTGTTTGTTTTGGAGAAATTTGTTAATGCTCAACTGTCTAGAAAATACAGGGACCTTTTGTCACATAATGTATTTCATTTATAACCTGGCTGAAATACCACCAATTGTCTAGTGAGGCAAAAGTAATATTGCTTTCATTTACGTTAATGGTTATGAAGCAATACACAATACCTTTCTTCTATAAAGAATAAGCTTATAACAGTTGGTCAATAAGTATTTCTCTAACTCATCTCTTCAGTTAGGAATAAATGTCCTCTGCCTGTTTCTATGCTTATATCGCTCTTTACTGTTTTCTCTGATGGACACACCGACTACTTATACTTTATAATACTTTTTATGAAAAAAGAACTTTTGTTAGAGAGAAGAGAGGAAAATGCAAAGCTGGATGGCAATACAACCTCCTAAAAAGAAGAAAAGGAAAAGAAGTACATCAAAATAACAAAGAATTCCTATTTCAAAAAAAAAAAAAACAAAGAACTCCAGCCTCTTTTAAGGATAGCAGAAGAAACATCTCTAGAAGAACCATGAACCCCACGAAGCACAAAGGAAACAATTTTGGCAGTTTGGTACAACTTTATCTTCTCCATGTAATCATATTTCCTCCAAGGAATATGCAATAAACTATAGTAGATTTTCTATCCACTACTAATACAATATAGTTTGCATCAGCCTAAGCTTCCGGTAATAATATGGTATTCTTTCTAAAATGATACCATTTCTTGGTGTTCCTTTCAAATACTATAGTACATGGTATGTTGTTTGTAAGTACATTTTTTTTTAGAATTGTACACAAACTGATTGATCACACTGATCATAATGTTTGGTCTAGTATGAGGTAGATACATAAGTCTCTCAAGTAGCCTTTGATAAATTTCCTTGTTGATGGTTGTGTCTTCTCTGCTAATTCCAGCTTATGATTGGGATCAATTAGTGTGTTAATAGGTGTCGATTTTAGGAGAAAAAATAAATGATTTTTTATTTCTTACATTTTAGATTGTTACATTTAGGGTATTATAGAATTTCTAATCTATTAATAAAGAAATTTTTATTCTATTAGAATTATTTTTGAGAAGAAAGTGTAAAACATATATTAATTAAGTGCCAAGGAGGCGCCACCCAAGTACATGGAATTTACAACTCGGTAAGAGTATCTACAATGAGCCCAAAATCATCAAAACTATCAAGATTGTGTCTTAACATAATAGAACCAAAAAGGTGTAACCATTTGTCCTTGATATTAACAAAATTCCTCTTAATAACCTCAAAAATTCTATTGTTTCTTTCTTTCTAAACAATTCAGAAAATAGTGAGCGGAATTAGTCGGAAGCATTTGTTCCTAAAAGTGAGACCCTCCCAAGCGAGAAGTTCAGCCTTGATGGAGCCTGCTATAACCCAGTGAATACCTATTAAACTGTAAAATTATAATAATATGAGATTATTATTCTCATAAAATCTTAATTATATAATACTAAATAATAAAATAATTAATTAATTAAATAATAAAATATAATATTCAACAACGGGTTTGCATGCCACTTTGCCTATATCTTTTAGAAAGTCATTGATTTACTTTTGTTCAAAAATGAAGATTTCTTATTTTAAGTGAGTCAATTGAATACTAAAGGAATTTTTTAGTTTTCTTAGTTTTTTAATTTCGAATTCCTTTTTCAAACAATGTTTAACTATCAATGTCTCTTTTTCATCATTATCAATTACAATAATATCATCAACTTGTACCAAGAGGGTTGTAACTCCTCCTAAATCTGGTACTTGATGAATCAAGTGTGATCTCTGTGATTTTGTTGGTACTCTATTGCCAGCATTCATTTTGTGAACTTTTTGAATCATGCTCTTGGGAACTTTTGAGTCCATATAGAGCATTTTTTCATCTGCAAACCTTGTTGCCTCATACATTTTTTGTGAATCCTGGTAAAATTTTCATGTAAATTTCTTCCTGTAGGTTTCCTTGTAAAAATGTATTTTTCACATCAAACTGTTGTAGTTATCGATTATAATTGACAACTAATAAAGGTTGGTCGTTTGCTGGTGGTGTAGATGGTGATGTAATGTAATAAAAAAATAAATCCCTATCTTTTATATTGGCTCATCCTGAAGATAAAGATGAGAAAGATAAGATCTTTGTCTCTACAAAATGTAATATTTGTAGACAGAGAATTTTTTAGGGAGCGGGTGATAGCATGTGTACTACTTTGAATATAGGAATATCTCACAAACACACGCTTTAGGTTTCTTGGGTCAAGTTTCTCCCATTGATTTGGATGTACGTAACAAAGACATTGTACTCAAATATTTTAGGGACAAGATAGTTTGTGACACTGACCTTTGAATAAAATATAGAAAAATTCTATTGTACTTTTTAAAATCTAATACTCTGAATGGTAATCAATGAATAAAGTAGGTAGCAATAAAAATGACTTTCTCCCAATATTGTTTAAGTACATTGTTTTAGGATCGGGTAGCAGCAAAGAGGTGGTTTTTTTTTTCTGCTACTTTGTTTTATTGTGAAATGTTGAAATATGAAGATTCATGAATAGTCTATTGGTGAAAAAAAATGGAGTGTTTGATTAAAAAATCTTTAGTACTGTCAGTGTGAGCCCCACATTAGGTCTTAATCTTCTTGTGAAATTGTAGAAGTATATGACTAAGATTTTAACTTAAGCGAAAAAAGTAAGGTGACTTTTGTACAATCATCTTGAAAGAAACAAACGAACCTCTATAAATATTATAAATTCTAAATATCACTATGAGTTAATAAAAAATAAATAGTGCTTATTTTATTGCTGATAGAAAGGGTTACACGTTTATGTTTTAGATTATTCACATATATTGAAGTGCAAATTTTCATTATCATAACCTTAGGGATATTAAAAAAGAAGTGTCTAAATCTTTGTTGGTATGGCGAAATCTTGTCCGTAGTAGTGTTAGATAAATAGGAGAGAGATAATCCAGATGTATCCAGAAAGTATAATCCATTCCTAACTTTAGCATCTCTAATCTTCTTTGCTGAATTTTGGTCCTGAAAGTTACAATGAGAGAAGAAAAAAATTGTTTTGCAATTCAAATTATGAGAAAATTTAGCCACCAGTACAAGATTAATGCATAGTTTTCAGATATGAAGCACACTCTCAAGGAGAAGATTGAGACAAGTCCTTATATTACCTATTTCTGCAATAGTATTTAATGAACTATCTGCAATGATTATTTCTGCTACTTGGATACTGAACATATGTGCTAAAATACTGAGAGAAGTTTGCCATATGATTAGTGGCTCTTGAGTTTATAATCTATGATGTTCAAGATCTACCTAGGACATTTAAAACCGTGTGAAGCAGGAAACTTACCTGAGTGTCTCAATAAACTGGTACCTATGGGATTTGTCAAAGACTCGAGTGTTTAGCCTTTCAATTTGTGCTTCAAA